TGGACTAAAGTCATAATTGTGTATTTATCCTTTTGGGATGTCCTTAGAGAGCCAGGCAGTGCCAAGAGCTTAAAAGGACTTTAAAAGATTACTTAAACCTTATTTCCATGCTGTGTGCTTCATGCATCTGGCTCAGAGGGAACATGCAGTACAAAGTCTAGAATTAGTTTTCATTTGCTTTGAATTCTTCTTGTGCCCTATAAGCCTTATTGTTTGGCACCAGCTTTGATTCACAAACACTGCATATGGGTGGTTTTGTTTCTCTTCTGTTGCTTGAAACAGCAAAGGATACATAGTCAGTGGTAAAAGTTTTTGTGGCAAAGCTCCCTTAATTATCGGGCCTTTAAAAAGAAAAACACACTCAAAAACCCTCCCAAACCTGACTAGATTAGTTTCTTGTACAGATACTATTTCAACTGCTTTTGCAGATCTTGGTAGATAGATTGTATTGATGGGTGACACTACGTAAAGGTAAAACAAGAAAAGGTGAGTCATCTGTTCACTTGAGTCTACAGAGGAGGAGGCTAAGGCCAGTGTGCTCCAGGCTTATGGAAGGGTAATAACATTTTCAATAATCATGAAGTGCTGAGAGTGGTTTACGTGTTGCCCCAAAGATACTGTTCACAGTAGCATAATGTACTGGAATTTGGCGGGAAATGTCAAAGTCGTCGTATTTCCCCCTCCTCGGGAGGATCAGGTTATGTTAGACCACATAGGCTTAAGTTAATGAAGTAGCGGGTCGTATCTTATGCTTGCAGTATGTTACCAGTTGGTAGCTTCACATCATATATGAACCAGTGTGGGATGAAAACCAGGGATCAAGGGTCTTTAGAATGTAGACCTGGAAGAAAAGGTCAGTGTCTCTCTGTAGAGGGGCAATGCCAGAAGTACCATCTGCTTTGGGGACAAAAGGAGAGCAGAAATAGGGTTTCTGTGACTGAAGGTGGATGAATGTTCAGATGACTGGAGCTTTTTGGAGAGGTTCTCCTTTTCTGGTCCAGGCAGAATGGATAAGGCATTAAACAAAGCATATTAATGATAAGTTGAAATATTTTTGGTACCTGAAATGACAGGACTTTTACTTAATAGTCTGGAAAACCCATACTTCGCTTTGTTTGGAGATGCCAGGTTGACAAGTAAAATATCCTCCTTCTTACACGTACCTAATGTGTAGACTGGCTTCATTCAGTAACACTTTGGTGCCTTTTGGGTAGGAAGCGGGTAACTTAGTCGATACTGATGTATCGTGTTGCAATTCTGTTTCAAGGAAAAGGATATCTGAAATGGGGAAAAATGCAGAGATGGAAGACAGAGTTACTAATTTCTTTTTTTAATTGGCAAGTAGACAAAGAACTCATTATGAAAATTAGGGTAGAGAAGGAGGGGGACTGGTTTTTAGAAGTCCCTTGATTAGCTTCATGTTTGTTCCACAGACTGTTGTATTTAGTTATGTTGGCGTTTACATGGTCTTACATAGGCTTTGAAGTTATCAGGTCACACCTTATTAACAAAAGCTAAGGAAGACAAGGGTGGATCACGCTTTTGTTGTCACCTTTGTTTATCTGGAGACTATTTTCTGCATGACTGCGTTAACAGCTCAGTAAGCCACCATCACTGTTCTTCCACAAGTCTGAATATCTTAATCTCAGTATCCAATATTGCACTTCTTGAAGGAGGCATCTAAAGGCAAGGTATTTGGGGGGGAAAAAGGCAAGTCTGCTGTTGTGCTTTAACTTGTTCAAATCTCCCTTCAAAGTTTAAGCTGGACTTAAACCGCTTAAATTTCCTATGCTTACTCAAGTTTCTGATCCTGAAGTAACTTGCCACTGCTAAGTAACTTTTTTGTAATACAGTGATTGTAATCTGCACAGACTGGGCGTAAGGTGTTGTATGGGTGTTTGGTTGGTTGGTTTTTTTTTTTATGTTGGAAATCTTTATTTTTCCTTTTTTTATATATAAAGGTAGATACAGTCCTGTTTGCTGACATAGGCTTCAGAAATCATTTCAGGGGGACTATTTCTGAGATGCACAGAAAAGGATGGTTAAAAATTTGTGATACCCAGCAGTTATTTCACTCACATGGTATTATCTTATGTTGGGTAATACAAGAGATGACGTAGGTCTTGTTCAGATCATGAATCAGGATAATGCTGACACTGCAGTCTTGAACCTTCATTGCTAACATGAATCTAAACTTCACAGCAGAAAATGGCGAGTCGCTCACTTGCCTAGCAGACCTTAACATGACTTGCTAATGCCTGTGAAATGTCTCAGTTGTTTTATCTTCACTGGCATTTTACCTCTCATTGGCAAACTCGATCACTTTATGTTCTGTACCTCAGAGCAGGAAAAGTGCCGCAATAGTCCCCAGCAGGGAAAGTGTTCCGAAGGGACCTATTCACATTCACCTGTGTTCGTTGAGGTAATCCATTGTTTAGGTACGAATGGTACAGATGGCTACAAAAGTTCGGCTTTAGTCTTTGTTAAATGAGGCCAGAAAACAAACAGTACCCGGGGAAGGGGGGGGGGGGAGGTGTGTCAAAAAGTAATTCAACATGAAGTTCATGTTTTGTAATTAACGTGTGTTGAGTTTAGCTTTTGTCACCTGAGTCAGGGCAAAATGGAAACATTTCATGGTACATTTGGTACATTAGAATCCTTAAATTTCTATTTAATGTTCTATTTACAGCTGTAATTCAGTGTTATTTTCTAAACAACACCAAGAAAAATGTCCCTGTTTAACTTTGGTTTTACAGTTAATGGAGACTGACTTTCAAACTGTGTGCATGTAATGTTTTTTTTCTTCCTTACTAAGAGAATAATTTACTATTACATTAAAATTCTTTCTGTACGCTAAACCAGGATTGTTATTGACTATTAGGTGTCAGATTCTGCTTCACAGAGGAAGGAAAATCTGAGGAAAGACTGGATTGTAATCATCAGGAAAGCTGGTATAGTGGAGCTGGCCAATTTAAGCAGACAGCGAAGGGGGGAAGCCGAAGCTGTTAGGAGAGCTTACCAATTTTGATCAATATTAATAAGTTGGTTTATTCTTGCTGGCTGGTTGTCTGATCATACACTAATGTAACTTACAAAATGTGTTCTTGAAAAATCATTTTCAGGCCTTGACAGATTCCTTAATGAGGTTTGAATTTTGAAGGCCTATTGAGCCTTTTAATTTTTATAGCGACTACTCTAATCCTCTTAAAGCAAAGTAGTTGTCCAGGAAAAAAACCCAACCTTAAACACGGCTAATAGACAGCTTCAGGTTGGTTTGTATTTCTAGGCTAATTTAAAAAAAAATAACATCTACATTAAGTTCACAAAGAGGTCAGAAGTAGTTCAGTCAGTGATCACTATGCTCTGTTTAGTGTCCATATGATCAAGTCACAAGAAGGGTCATGGGATTTAATTTTTGTTCATGTTGTTAAAGTCTACTTGTTTAGATAATTGGAGCCACTGGTCTAGTTTGTCTTTGAGCTGGAGAGACGAATCTAAAACTAGGACATCATGTCATTAGTGAAAAAGAAACGTAGCCTTGGAAAAAATGACAGAAAAAGGAGAGAAACTTAACCATTGCATCAAGCACATAAATTAACTCTTGGTCTATTTCTTTTTTAATCTTTAGTGTATTAGAATCAGAATTTCGTACCAGGTTTTAGTTGTCTTCTGGTGCATGCATTAATCCCAGAGGTTTTTTTGAATATAACTAATACGGATGCAAAGGAGATGGTACATGCAACAAAGCTAAGCTGAGCAGTGGAAAGGGCAGTGTCCATATACAGTTCTTAAACAATGAAATACTTGTCATAGAGGAGCTGTGATCATGCAGGACGGTGAGGATTTCACCATTGCTGCAGCCATCGTGTATCTTTGACATTCCTGGGGCAGCTGATACATTCCCCAGCCCTAGTCTAAGAGACAACAAAGCATTAAATTATCCTTTCCTTTGCGGGGGGAGGAACTTTGTTTATTGAAAGGAGAAGATTGTAAGAATGCTGATGCTAGTTGAGGGAGGTACAGATGACCAACTACACATAACCAAAACCAGCTAGTTTTTGGAGGTTATTCCAGGAAAATGCCTGCTAGGAGGCCTTTTCTATAATAATATCTTTTAATATGAGGTAAGGTTTCAGGGGTTTTGTCTCCTTTTCTTGCTTCCCTCCACCAGGCTTCTGTTTTATATCTGATTACGTCAAACTAAAGGTCAACAGATCACAATAGATCATTTTTATTTGGTGCTTTTTCATTGACTTGTACTCGGTAATGGTCAGAGTTCTCAGAACAAATCCCGTTTGGACTTAAATGTCCTCTTTTATCTGTAAGTACCTCTCAAGTCTTCCCCCATACTGTTAAAGGTAAGTGTAAGGGGTAAAAAAAGCTCCATACATGTTTAGGGTTCCCGTTAGACTTTTGGTTTAGGGTGTATAGTACTTGTGGACAGTTACCAACATAGCTGGCTTTCAGCGGATCACCCCATGTGCTGAAATGAACGTGGTGTGGGTCCCCCACCAACCCTTTTCACAATAGAGCCATTTCTCCATTGTGTTACTAAAAAGAATTTAATTAACTCTCGCAAACGTTTTAGTTTCATGACAGGCATATTTGCCTTGAAGCTTTTCACATATCTTTGCAGAAGAAAAGCTTTGTATCTAAATAACATTCTTGTGAGTTTTTGAAAGGTTACAGTTGGGTCACTAGCACTTCTTTTGGTACATCTTTCACAGACTTCATTTATTTTGGCTTGACCACTGCAGTTGGGAACCTACTTGGTTTTTGACTGTCACCTCAGGATTTAAGTTGCACCAATGGAAAGCACACATTACTGCACTTCAGAGCTTTCTTCATGGCAAAAAAGCTGGAGTGACTGTGTACATGTAACAAAATGAGTTGTATAAATCTGTATTTCACAACTAGAATCTGGGAGTTTTCTTCAGTAAATCTACATAAGAGAAACACCTTTTGTTCTTTTAATAACAGAGAAAGTTGCTCTCTTACAGTTCGCTGGGACCTTGTCAGATGGTTTGGGAAAGACAATGGATAACAGACACCAGACCGAACGAGAATACATTCGATACCATGCTGCAACTAGTGGAGAACATCTTGTAGCTGGAATCCATGGACTTGCACATGGTAACCCTTAGCTGTAATTTTAACTCATCTGTCTCTTAAAAGTAATGACCACATTGAAAAGTACAGTTTGTATTGCTCTTGGGTGATTATTTGAAGCCAGGGAAGTGGAGCTGTCACAGGCTTTATATTTAAATTTGAATGCTTGCAGGTCGGGGTGGGGAAATCGTTTGGTTTTTAAGTTGATGGAAACTACATTTAAGAATAAGGTCTTTTCACATGTAACTCTAAGTAAAAGCTTTTTTACAAATTAAAATGAAATTACAAAGAAAGTTCATGCAAAACTTCTGTTTTCTTTGTGGAGGCATAAAATATCCATGCAAACAGTCTTTTTGAGGGCCAGACATTAAAATAAAAATGAGTATGGCTGGATTGTAGCTTTCTTGTGTTTGCTTTCAGTTCCAGAAACCTGAATTTCCTCAGAATCAGTACATCAGTTTAAAGTAACATTTCACCAGTTGGGTTATTTTGTGGCTTTGTTTGGGGTTTTTTAAGTCTACTATGAACTAAAGGAATGAATTTGTGTAAAAGGCAGTGGACTAATCTTAATTTGGCCAGAATCTCACATCAATTTAGCTCATGATTTATCTGTTGAAGAAAGTTAAATCAATACAAGCCAAGATTAAATCAAATATTTATATTTTGCATCATCTTGACTCAGTTTGTTTAAATGTCATTCTTTTAGTGCAACTGTTGCAGCCTGTGTAAAGATAATGTGGCTTTCACTGAAACAGCAATCTTTTCTGTGCTGAGCAAAAGTCTTTATGCTGGACTTTTGTCATAAAGAGACACTGTAGGTATTTAAATGGATCATGAGAGGGGTTCTCTCACACCAGTGTGCTGTAAAGTCTGATACAAATTATGTTGGTAGAAATGCAGGAAGTCTGAAATGTGTGTGTCTGCTGAAAACTCAATTATAAAAGCACTTCATTGTGTTGTATTATCCAGTAATTAGCGGGACTGTTTTAGTCTTAATTCTGTTGAGTTTTTAAATGCTTCCCACTCAGGGTTTGGGGTTTTTTTGTTTTTTGTTTTTTTCAAAAAAGCAAATAACTGTTCAATTCTATCTGTTGAAATGTAGGAATTAACCATAAACTATAGTTACTCAAGAGAAGTAATTTAAATACTTTGTACTTCTCGAGTTTGGAAGTTAAGATGCTGCCTGGTCTGTACTTCAATTACAGACCTTGAATAGAGTACCTGGCTGCCAAAAGCTGATGAGCCAAATGGTGGGAAGCATTTTTAAATGAGTACTCAAGCCAGTTCACTAAAAATTGTGATTTTTCTTATGGTGGAGATGTGAGATCTGTAAAGCATGTTCTCAGATAATAACGAACTACTCCAAGTCTGTAGAAGCTTCAGCAGGTTCTTGATTTCTCCAGAGCATTCAGATTCTCAGCAATGGAAACAGGCACAGAAATGTCTGTTCGCAGCATCATGGTTAAAATCACACAAAGCCAGTTTAAAATAATTGACTTTTTCCAATGGAGAAATGCACTTACCTGTTTTCTGTCTCAAACTGTAAAAGCTTTTCTGGTAATAGAATTTTGTCACATTATAAGTAACCACTTCACCTTAGGAAGAGATGAGGACTGTTTGTGTAAATACAGCTGGGAAATCAAAACACTATGGAAATATTTTTTTTTTTAATACATATTTAATAATGAATTAAATCTTTTTCTGTGGGATATTGTCTGTGCATATGTGTGTGTATGTATACTACATATACAAAGTATAAAGTTACTTGCTATCATAATCGGTTTTGAAACAGGTTTTGTATTATTAAATGCACAGTACATTTCTGTCAAGCTTGACAGTTAATCATTTAGGCAGACAGAATCGGCTGTGACAAGGTTCTACAATTTTGAGAGGCAATACTTCTGGCCTACTTTGCTGTTCTTGTCTTTGCTAGGTATCATTGGAGGATTGACAAGTGTAATAACTTCAACAGTTGAAGGTGTGAAAACTGAAGGAGGTGTCAGTGGTTTCATATCAGGCCTTGGGAAAGGGCTGGTTGGCACAGTAACCAAACCTGTGGCTGGAGCTCTGGATTTCGCATCGGAAACTGCACAGGCAGTGAGGGACACTGCAACTCTAAGTGGCCCCAGGTCAGTAAGCAGTTTATATTTCTGATCAGTAATACTGTAAAAATGTGTATTAATGCCTGCTGCAATTTCTGATCTGATTATCTTTCCTTACCCAATGGAACAATAATTTAATCAAATTTACTATGAGCTATTATTAGTGATGTAGCCCATTTCATTCAATTTGCTTTTTCTTTAATAGATGGCATTTGTTGATACTATAACAAGAGTGAAATTTGCACAGAAAAGCTACAACATAAAACAGGAATTATTAAGCTACAGCATTAGATTAAAGCAAAATTTTTAAAAGGCTATATGTAACGAGATTAAACTTCTGCCATGGAATCCTTACACAGAGTTGAAATGGAAGAGTTCTTCTCCCTGCTCTACCTCCAGCTTCCATATGTCTGTGTGGAAAAACAACTCTTCAAAGGTTTGAAGAGTTCTGGCATCAACATAGTGTCATTATCTTCTAATTTTCATTTGGTACAATAGTTCTCACATAAAGTGTGGATATATGCCCTTAAGTCCACATGCTTATTTGTTTACCCATACATATGTGGATATGAATTGTCAGCACATGAGGACAGATGCTTTGGCTTCTTTCCTGTGTTCAGTTACTAGCGTAATGTGGTCTCTACAAAATAATGATGATTATGTTTAAAGTAAATGAATGTTCATTAGCACTGACTATGACTGTGGAAGAGGGAAGGGCTAAGTTCTAAAAACGCTGCTCCAAGAGAAGATTCTTTTTACTTTTTCTGGCTAGGAGTTTGCTTTATACGCTAGTGCTATGCCAAGAAGTCCTTTTGTATGTACATGAGATCCTGCATGCTGAAGAAGTGAAAGAAAACCCGAAGTAAACTTTATTGTCAGAAAGCTTAGAGAAAAATGTTTGCAAAATGTTGGGTTTTGTCTTCCCATTTGGCTTTTCCATTTCCTGTGTTTTATTGTGCCACGCTTGGAATCCTGAAGTGTCTACCATCAGTGTTTCAATAAAGAATGAGCTTGATGAAGTGCAAGTGAGGTGCAGGAAACTTTGAAGAATGAACCTAGGTGTACTTTGTTGTGAGAATGGAAGTGTTTACATGTATCTATCTTATGTATCTGGTACTTAGCTTGATTTGTAAAACGCAGAGGTCAGGGATGACAATTTGGTAAGTACGTGTGCATACACAGAATTACGTAAGAACTCTTAAGTGCATCCCTGAGAAAACACATCTACTGTTTTGCTTGTATGTGTCTTAATTTTGTGACTGTACAGATTGATTTATTTATTTAAAGGTGGGGAGAAACACAGCTGGCTATACTGTTAGTTGTCTTACTAGCTGAGCTGTGGTTTTATTCTAGTTTGTTTGAAGATACACATACACTTAAAATTCATGTTTTGACATACTTCTATGAGATACAGCCTGTAGACAGTAGTGATTATGTTATCAACAGTTGACAAACTAGAGAGCAACTGGGAAAGGGAGGGCCTCCAACCAACCTTATCTCTAGCTTCTCTTTGCCTATGTGACATACTTCCCTTTAACTTGTTAACTGTCAGTTAAGAGATGAGGGTAAAACAGATGACCTGAACCAGATTTTTGCTTCCACGGGATTCTGAAATACTATTGTCATAAAAAAGCACTCTGAAATTATTTTTGTGTCTACACACACTCTGCAAAAAGTTTGACCCAGCAACCTTCTACAAGGTGGGGAAGAAAAACCTTTCTCAATTACTACACTTCTCCAGTCTACAAAATCTGATCAAAACTTTTTTTTTAGATAAACAAATGTACTTAGAATATGTAGACAATGCAGGAGGGGAAAACCCCCCAAAAACACCACCACCACCTATAAGCAACCTTGCACTCATGTTTTCTTTGGTAAGGGATTTTTTTTTAATGTGCTTATATAATGAAGCAACCAAATTGTTCTTTTGGGGGGGTATTAAAAAAACAAAACAAAACAACAACAACAGCAAAGGATTTGTACATTTTTTTAGACTGCTGTGTACCAATATCCCCCTGCCGCATTTGTTAACTGTTCAAATATGTGTGGTTTGGAATCAAAGTAGAACAGTGTTCCAAATGCAAGATGCTGGCTCCAGTTGAATATTCTGTTTAAGCATGCTGGGCCATGTAGACTCTCCCAAGCTAAATACACAAAAACAGCTAACCCTAATGAATGTAAGTTTATGGCAGTAACTGATCTCAAGTGTAGTTGTGAACAACTGAAGAATGTGAGTTAATAAGCATGGTAAGAGCCACGTTGACCTTATCTTGAGACTGACAGTGTATGTGCAAGTTTCCAGTAGTGGTGCAAAGTTGAGTCAACCAGTTAATTACAGTTGCATTTAAATAGCATGATACATAACCATAAATTATAGGCCCCTTGCAATTCTCTAATTACATGGTTGAATATTTTAAAAGCCCTGAATTTAAGCTGCGCCAGACTTTAACCATTGGATCAGTTTTAAGCGAGATGGAAGAATCGTAATTGAGGTTGTAGGTTTTCCTAAAAGGCATAGTCTAATTCCAGCAACGTTACTGAACTGAATAGAACACTGAGGAAGACTCTGTACCTTGTGTTACTGTGATCATGCTACATGGACGGAAGTCTCTTTTGGCTTCAAAATGTACTGATTTGTATTGGGACTCCTGCAGCTAGCACAAACCACGCGTTTGGAACATGGAGCCAAAGTAACATGGCTGAGATGCAGACGATGGCTTTATAGCTTATGGTGGTAGTTTAAAAGGTGATGTGTTTAAAGTACAAGAAAATATTTTTTTTTAATCGGACTTTAAGCTGGACTTTTTTAAAGCTAATCTTGTAACTTATTATGTAATCATATAATTCATTATGCTTGTTATTCATTAATAATGCTGCCTTAATACTTTTAAATTGTAATGCAGAGGAGAGCATAAAATAGTTGTTGACAATGCAGCATACATCTAATTTATAAACAGTTAATGCCTGTGACTTGATACCTTTTTTTGAGTGTTTTTTATGTGTTCCAAGTACTCTAGTGTCACATACAAGAGTTCTGATTATTTCCATATTTGTCATATTCTGCCAAAAGTTTTAAAGACCAGTTCAAAACAGGAAAGCTGTTATGTCTCTGTGCTTGGAAAGCTCTCTCCTAGAAACGTGTTTTAAGTCCTAGTGCAGCACAAATAAAGAACATTTATATTTAGATGTGTGTCTAACTTAACAAGTAGTGCAGGAAACTGCCATTATGGCTTGCTCTCAGGCTTCTGCCAGGTCAGTGCAAGTTTAAGATTATTCTTGAACTGCTGCTGCAAGCGTTTGTGTTCTTTTCTGATAGTTGCAATGTGAAACTTGGAAGTAAGGAGATAACTTCATGACCTATCCAATTCTAATTCTGTTGGGGAACTAGACTATATTAGTTAAGAATAGTTTGAGATTGGCAAGCCATTAATGGTCACAGAAAATTCTTACGTAAATATTTCATTCTTTTCAATGTATTTAACTTGGAAAGAAGCAGCCTGTGCTAGTTGTTCTTTTGTTCACCACTTTCATGCCATCAGTCGGAAATCTGCAGTGAGGTTGCAAAGTCTGAGACCATGTCAACAGCAGGTGATTTTAATTTTAATTTTTTTTTTTTTTTTTTTTTTTTTTTTTTTTGCCTTTGTGCGTCCATCTCTGTTAGCTATGATTTTGATTGTAAGGTCAAAAGCAGTAGACTTGAGAGCATGAGTATCACACTGAGAAGAGGTAGAATACATGTACCTAATTGTATGGAATGCCAACTCAGCTAATATACTGCAAAGAGCATATTCTCCAGGTTCTCAAGTTCTAAACATAAATATTGCCTGCACCTTAACACCTCTGTATGTGTCCCAGATTTTGTCCTGACCTTGGACTTGATCTAGATCTGACTTCAAGAATCCTTACAGTGATGTCAGTCACATATGGGCCACAACTCTGGTGAACGAGACGTTATTCTTCTCCTGGTAGGCCCTTCCTAAGATCTCCCTAGAAGCCAGAGAGAAAATGTATTTATTGGCTAGTATTCATTGTGTTGTGTAAATCTTGAAGTGTTGCATACAGGACAGTTTAGCTGATTTATCGGTCTGATCTGTAGATGACTTGGGCAGTGTGATTTCCTTCATATCCTCTTTCCTCTTTTTTCCCAGTGGGTTAACAGGTCTTTATAATGAACTGTTTTCTCAGATGATCTGTTTTCTTTTGAGCACATTTGTCCATTTTACTCCTGTGGCACCCTGTTAAATGGCTGTAGACATTGGGTTTCCTCAGTGTTAGCCCTACCTCCCATCTTCAGTCACTGCTGAACTTGATTTTATGGGTTTACATTCTTCTGTCATTAGTTTATCCAGATTCTTCCATTGCAGTTGTTGAGTTACTCTGAAATCCCCCCAGTCTGTAAGTTCCCATCAGTATTGTGTGAAGAAGGACCGTCATATCCCTGTTCTGTGACAAGCTGTGCTCTGCAAGTCATCCAAAATTGTGTTGGCTGGTTTTACTGCCATATCACATTGCAAATTGATATACAGTTTTCTGCTTGCTGTTTTCCCTCAAGAGGTTTTTTTTTTATGTTTTGTTTTATTTTACTGCTTTGCAAATATCTCCTCGTCGTTTAATATTTGTGTTCTGGATTATTTTCCCCCAGATGAACCAGGTTGCAATTTTCTAGGTTGAATCCCATTTCATTTCCTGCCATATTTCTGACCTCTTCAGGTTCTTTAGTACTTCACTGTCCTCACTGGAGTTTTAAACGCCTCTTAGTTTGTCCTCTCCAAATATAATTTTACATGCTGCTTTTACTAGATCCTTGAAGTTAAGCAAGCCTGGTTTTGTGCCCACACATTTTGCAGCACCTCAGCAGACGCTTCTCCTTGCATTAATCATTTTCTGTTACCAGTCTCACCTGCTCAGTATTCTTCTGTCAGGTGTTAATTTACCAGTGGTAACTTTGTGCAGTTCTGCTAGAGATCCTATTCTGTTTTTCAGATGTCTACTCTTGCTTGTTGTGTAAGTGAATGTAGACTGGGGGG